AAGACCTGCAGCCCTTCCAGTCTGCTCAGTTCACCCACTCTTGCTCCTTGCAGGTAGCTTATCGCAAAGCTGGTGTCGCTCCTTACGTAACTGGACTAAGGCAGTAGCGGTGGCTGTGGCTTTCTTCACACTCTGAGTTGGCTTAAATAGCTGGTGGCCCTCGTGTCATTACTATTGCTGTTGGGGGCTACAGAGAATCAGAGCACTCATTCCTCACGTCTCTTTTCTTGTCTTTTCGTTACATCCACTGTGGCTTTCCTCGAACTCAGCCATGTTTCTCTTTTTAAGTTTTCTGCTATAGGAATGGGGTGGGCAAGGAAAGGCCAGCGTTGCGTGGCAGTCCTGCCTTCCCCAGTGAGTGGGTAGCAGTAGCAGCTTTCCTTTAGTGGCTGCCCTGTTCTGAAGCAGCTTTGACTTGGTGCTGCTTTATGTCCTTTATGTTTGGGGCTAAAATACCATTCCCTCTGCTCCAGTCAGGGTGTGGCCACCAGTGTTTGCTGGGTCCTCTTCATGCTGGCTGTGGTCATTGAAATAAGAGTGGCCCCCATAGGTTCATATACTTTTGAGTGCTTCGTCTCCCGGGAGTGGAACTGTTCGAAAGGATTACAAGGATGAGGAGGTGTGGCCTTGTTGGAAGTTTGTCATTGGGGATGGGCTTTAAGCTTTCAAAAGCCCATGCCAGGCCCAGTCTCCTTCTCTGCCTGCAGGTCAGGATGTAGCTCTCAGCTACTTCTCCAGCACCGCCCTTGCCTGCCTCCATGCTTGAACTGTGATGATCATGGACTAAGGCTTTAAAACTGTACATAAGCCCCGAGGTAGATGGATGCTTCCTTTTGTAAGAGTCGCCTTGGTCATGGGATCTCTCACAGCAATAGAACAGTGACTGAGGCACTGGTCTTACTGGTTTCTGGTCTTCACGGCTAGTCCTTTGAGCCTAGCTGTTTCTTGACTCTTTCCTGACAGGCCCTGCCAAAACCACTATTCTGACTTCTTCGGTGCTAGGTTAGTTTTGCCTGGTCAGTGTCATATAAATGGTTGTCCTCTTTGTGTTTTGACTCTTTCACTCAATATAAATATTTTTAACATGTTTTTGAGATTCATTTATTACATTTATCAGTAATTCCTTTAAAACTTAAGTGAGTGTGCTCGTGCATACGCTTGTGTGTGCATGGGGTACTCAGAGGGTTGTCAGGTATCTTCTTCAGTTGTTCTTTTGAGACAGGGTCGCTGAACTTGAGGCTCACTGTTTAACTAGACTGGCTGGCCAGTGAACTTGAGGGATTTGCCTTCCTCTGCTTCTCCCATTGCCTGACCTTCGTGCTTGTCTGGGGGTCAGGTACGGGGAGAAGACTCTGCTCTTCATGCCCGTACAGCAGACATTTTACCAGCCACGCCAGGCTCCTAGCCCTTTATTTAGTGTTTGAGTCATTCTGTGATATAAATGGGACAAGATTTATTTTTCCATTCTTGTTTTGATAGACTCTTGTTTTTCTTGTCCTAGGTATTGTGAATGAGGCTGTCACTTTTTGTATAAGTTTTAAATTTCTCTGGAACTTAAGAAGTGGACTTTCTGGGTCTTAGCACTGATGTATATTTAACTAAAAAAGAAGTGGCTAGTTTTCCAAATTTCTACCGTTCTGTACTCAGCAATGTACAAGGGCTGTGGTTACTGAACATCCTTGCTCTTGGGTCACAGCTTATGAATATTAGCCAGGCTAGTGTGTAAAGATGCTTCTTTGAGTGTTTTCTTTGAAGCTCTCTAGTGACTAGTTGTGTTTGAATACCTTTGGTGCGCTTACTGGGTACTTGTATGTTGGCTTGTGACCTGGCTGGCTCCCTCTGCTGGGGTTTTAATTTGGACTGGCCTGCATCTGCTCACACATTTAAACACTTGAGGTTTCCCTCTTGGGCTTGTAGGGTTGTTTGTTTTGCTGTTTGAACGAAATGCTTGCCAAATGTAGCCGTGGCGGGGACTTGCTGAGTTTACAGCTGAAGGGGGGAGGGTCATGTGGCAGAGGCTTGAGGAAGCTGGTCACACTGTGTCCTTCCTGAAGGAGCACAGAGTGACTGCTGCTGCTTGGCTGAAGGACTCCAGGCTCTGGAATGGTCTGCCTGAGGTCATAACCTGATCTACATCCCTCAAAGTGCCCATGTCCTGTCAAGTTAACCAGTGAGACACCATCACAGGCCTGGTCATAAACTTGAATCTTCCTTTTCATGTTTTAAATTCACACTTACCGTGTGGGGTTTGTCTTCCGAGTTTTTCTCTGAATACCACCCCCACCCCCTTAGGTTCTGGTTTCTAGAAACTTAACACGTAAAAAGATTGATGTGTGTGGCGTTTTGCCTGCGTGTGTACCTGGTGCTCCTGGAGGCCAGCAGAGGGCATCAGACGCCCTGGAACTGGAGTTAGACAGTTGTGGCCAGCCATGTGGGTAACCGGAAGTGAAGAACAGCAGTTCCCTTCATCTCCACTCAGCAATTGCAGGCAGTTTGGACACTTGATTTTTCTTTTTATAAAAGCGGTTCTTTCTGAAGATATTTGAAAGTACGGTGTAGGGATCACCACCCTAATATTGCCAGGGACTTTGTTTACTCTAAGATCACTGCTTGATAAGAGCCTAACCTGCAGTTGGGAGGGTGCTGTGGGTTGATTAAGGCTCTTACTAACTGCATTTCTATTGGACGGCCTCCTGAAATGTCCTTTTCTCCCTAGTGACTCCAATGGGATCAGGTAGCAATCGACCTCAGGAAATAGAGATTGGAGAATCTGGTTTTGCTTTATTATTCCCTCAAATTGAAGGAATAAAAATTCAGCCCTTTCATTTTATTAAGGACCCCAAGAATTTAACACTCGAACGACATCAGCTTGCTGAAGTGGGTAAGTTGTTATTGACTATTTAATTTTCTTGTTCTTTTGAGATAGGGTCTCACTATGTAGTTCTGGCTGGCTTTGATCTCAGAGACTTTCTTGTCTCCTGAGTGCTGGGGGATTAAAGGTGCATGCCATACACCTGACATTGTTATTTATTATTAATAGCTCATTCTGTTGATTAACTTGTTCTATTTTAATTCTGGCCAGCTAGCAGCTGCTAGGCTACTGTTGACAAGGCTGGTGATTGGTAGAATTGGTTGCAAATTGTTTTCTTTGCTACGAAGTCCTAGCTGACCTGAGATGAACATTTTTTTATAAGTATTCTGTTGGTAAGCTTGTGTATGTACCATGTGTGTGTCTGCTGCCCATGGAGAGCAGAAGAGGACATCAGATGCCCTGGAACTGGAATTATAGACAGTTGGGAGGTAAGGTACATGCATGCATGCATTTAATTGTAGTTGAATTTTGAAGGGATTTTTGATCTTCAGTAGGCTCTTACCAATAATTTTGCCTTATTTTTGTTATTTAAAGCAGAAAAACTTAAGTTTTTAAAACTGTTCCTAGTAACCATTTATGATACAAGTTTTTAGAAGAAAAAGTTGGCGTTTAGGAGAGAAGGCATGAACTTGGCAAAGTGTTAGGAAATGAACAGTCAAGATTGCTCCAGAGTTTGAGAAAGCAAGTGTGGTTGAATTTGAAGTAGGTCTAGTGTCAGGCTTTGATGGGGAAACTTGTTAAAGTAGGCAACTAGCTACTCCAGCAAAGCAGTTGTGAAGACTTCTCCTCATCTACATCTGCAGAGTAGATGATTGGGCTTAAACTATCATTGTGCTCATCAAAATTACTTAGCGATAACCCTGCATCTGTGTGCAGATGAGCTAGCCTGAAGACACACCTCCATATGCATCAGCACTCAGATGTGTCACTTAGGAATTCCCTCTGATCACTTCCATGCTGCTAATGTTCAAGTCAGCAGTTGAGTCCTTGTACCTCTGCAGGTTAGTTATGCTTTACAGACAAGGAGATAGGTTTGGGAAAGTTAGGCTTGTCCCAGCGTAAAGACTAGCAATGGAAAAATGCTGTAACAGCAAAGGGAAGTTTGGGTTGATGGCTCAGAGGACGGAATGTCCCCACTAAGAACAGCTTTACTGTCCTGCGAGTGTAATCAGGAAGTGAGAGGGGCTGGTGGAAGGGGTAGTGTTGCTGGAGAGCTTCTCTCCAGGTTTCATTAAGCCCCGCAGTCCCACAATCCACATATAAAATAATCGCTCAGACATTTATATTACTTATAAACTGTATGGCCGTGGCAGGCTTCTTGCTAACTGTTCTTTTATCTTAAATTAACCCATTTCTATAAATCTATACCTAGCCACATGGCTGGTGGCTTACCGGCATCTTTACATGTTGCTTGTCCTGGCGGTGGCTCCAGTGTCTCTCCTCCTTTTTCCTGTTTCCCCAATTCTCCTCTCTCTTTGTCCCGCCTATACTTCCTGCCCGGTCACTGGCCATCAGTGTTTTATTTATATAGAGTGATATCCACAGCAGGGTAGGACAGAGCAGTAAGTGTGGGCAGCTAAAGCTGGGGGCCCTGCACATGGCCTCAGTGGAGAAGAGGGCTGGACAGGTGCAGGCCCTCTGTGCCCTTCCGGGTGGCTTCCGGACTTCACTGAGAGTACTTTTCCTTTTTCCCTGTGCACAGATATTGCAGGTGCGTTTGTGGGGAGACCAGAGGTTGACGTCAGGGGCGCATGTCCTGCAGTGTCTCTTAACACTGACTTCTCTTGAATAGCCATGCCATTGTCCCAAGCTAGTCACTCCTGGCAGTGACACTCTTGTTTCTAAACTAGACTTGACTGTTGCGCCTCAGCTTCTTCCTACTCAGAATGTGTCCTACTAAAGAAAAGGGTCTTCTCTCAATGTGCCAGGCTCATCTGTAAGAGGGAGGGCCCTTCAGGACTGCCAGTGTGCTTCACTACACAGAGACTTAGAACTTGAGACTCTGCCCCAGCCAGTTCTAGCTGTCAATAATTGATGTCTTGGCAGCGGCATTGGGGGGAGCTACTGCCCTGTGCTGTGACCCGAAGGTAAAGTTTCCTAGAGTTCAACACAGAAAAGAATTCCAGGATGAGCTGCTGTGAAGCAGAGTTGGAGTTTATTAAAAGGAAATTTTTTAATATAAATTTCAGCATGGGGGTTGAGAGAGATTTGGGGAAAGTGGATGTAGGCTGCTCCGAAAAAAAAGTCGCATGTCATTGTCTTTACACGTCATTAAAGGATTGCCAAGAAGTTGAACTGGAATCACAGAATGGTTCCTGGGATGCTGGACAGGCTTACATTTGCTAAGACAGAGCTCGAGGTCACTAGCATGGAGTTAGGTGTTACTGTGCTGGGGTCCTTGATTCATCATGGGCGGAGCCTGAGCACTGTGGTGTGCCATGCTCCCTTCCCTTCCCATCTGGCCTGCTTCATTCAGTCTTGCTGAGTGATCCTGCCTCCTATCACGATGGAAGGCATGTGGCTGAGGTAAACAGAAACGTTGGTGTAGTTAGGGGCTGTATTTTCTTCTGTCCCAGAAGCCACCTGTTTGTAATACTGGCCGGTTTCAAAAGAATGCTGTGAAAACCAGCTCCCAGGGACTCAGGTGAAAGCTTGGAGCTCTGGGCTGAGATGCTGCTGGCTCCCCGGAGTCCTGCTGCCTGCACGTGGTAGAGCTGCTTAGACCGCATTAGAGACTCCGGGCACTGGCATGCATGGAATCGGGATGTGGAGCCACCTGACATGGTCCACCAGGGCTACTCTTCAGTCTATAACCGTGTCCTTGCTTGGGTGAGGCGTTGACTGGATCACATTCAAATAGCTTTTATTACTGGAACCAAGAGCTTCAGCGCTACACGGCGTGCACTGGTGCCGGTCAGCAGGGGTAACTAACAGCTCATCGGGTTGAAGGATGCTTATCTGTCTCCTCTCTGCAGGTCTTCTGGATAACCCTGAGCTTCGAGTGGTCCTTGTCTTTGGCTATAACTGCTGTAAGGTGGGAGCCGGCAATTACCTGCAGCGAGTAGTCAGCACCTTCAGCAACATGAATATCATCTTGGCTGGAGGCCAGGTGGACAACCTGTCTTCCCTGACCTGTGAGAAGTAAGTCGGGGCACTTTGCTTTTCTCCCCTGGGTAAATGGAAATTTCAGGTTCTCATTACTTGGGGTTTTTTCAAACAAATTTGAGGAATCAGTGTGGCATTGTATGCCTTCAATTCCAGTACTCTGAGGAGGCAGGACCAGCCTGTTCTACATTGATGACTTCCAGGCTAGCCAAGGCTACAAAGTGATACCCTGTCTCAAAAAATACAAAAGAAAAGGAATTGCTAGTGTACCAAATCATTTCATTTTGCTGTTGCCAAGAGGTCACTGAACACAATTCTGCGCGCAGTCGAAGAACTAAACTTGTATTTATTGTCCTTTAAGAACATCAGAGTTGGGCTCCTTCAGCAGTGCCTGTTGATGTATTTTACAGCTCTGGTCCTCCTTGTGATGTTGCTCCTGCAAACAAAGAAGTCATTAAGGCACAGGGCTCTTATTTCAATGTAGTTTCAATAGAGAGTTGATTGCTAATTGTGGGATAAAGGTTTCAGAGAAGTAAATAAGGAAGACTAGGTTTTGAAAGTGAAATAAGGAAAGGGGGAACTGAAGTGAGGGTGAAGCAGCTTGTTTTAAACAATTTTCAGTGGCCTTTGTGTGGAAGTCATTGTGGATGATCTGAGAATAGACTGACGCCGGGGTCTGTGCATGCGCTAAGGTGGACATGGGCTGCTGCAGAACTCCTGCTGTTGGAAGCTCGCAGTGGGGCCTTGCAAGCTCATCTTTCTAGACAGTCACTTGAAGATTGAGTGCTGTGTCAGAAGCAAACTTCAAAGATGATCTCTGTGGCTCACAAATTCTCTCTTGATTAGACTGTAGCCATTTAAAGTTTTCCCACGTTTCCTGGAGGAGGTACATGGGTCAAGTGTTTGTAACAAAACTCGTCAGGCTCTAACACTCAGGGTGGGATGGCATCTCCCTCCTCTTCTGGGGAAGAGCAGCCTGTGGGTATCTTACTGGCATCCTTTGGCCTTCAGTTTGGGAAGTATATACTAGATTTTATTTACTCTGTGTGTATGTATATGCACCACTGGGGCTTGGTGCCTGACTATCTTAGTTTCTTGCTAACCCAGAGACTCTTGTGCATTCTGTAGATTCAGTTGTTGATAAATGTAATGGAGACTTAAGATGTGTGTTTCTTCCCAATGAGTGTTCATTATATGCCTTATAACTTTTACTGGCATGCACATTCTTTTGTAAGGACAGAATATTTTGATTAAAAAAAGTCTTAACAGGGCTGAGGAGGCACTTGACATCAGGGCTGACAACATGAGTTCAATCCCCGGGACCCACAAGGTGGGAAGAGAAAGGACTCCTTCGCCCTCTGTGGACATGCTCACCCAGCCAGTAGAAAGAGGGTTTTAGAGATGTGTCTGCACATGAGTTGCCCTCAGGAACCAGAGGTATTAGATTCCCTGGAGCCACAGGTGGTTATGAACCACCTGATGTGGGTGCTGAGAGTCAAGCTGGGATCTCTGTACGAGCAGACCACGATCTTAACTTCTGAGCCATCTCTCCAGCTCCTCCCCTCCCCCCAGTTGTGAAGTTTTAAAATTCAAACTCAGGCTCAAAGCAGTAAGCAAGACAGGAAGCATTGCAATCATAGTTCTTTAAAGGCTAGTCAACAAAAAGCTAAAACCTGCAGAATCGAAAATTATTCTCCATGATTTTATATATAATATTGTATTTGGTTTTTTAAGAAACAGTCCTGGAACTCACTTTGTAGACCAGGTTGGCCTCAAACTCAACAGATACCCGTCTGCCTCCCTGAGTGCTGGGATTACATGTGCCACCACACCTGGCCCATAATGATATAGTTTTTAATACATCTTTTTCATAATTTACCAGTGGTGGGGGTGAGATGGGGAAGATGCCTTTATGTAGGTGTCATGGGATGGGGACATCCGTTAGTGTCAGTGCTCGCCAGCACCACCACTACAGAGCTGGTGGGGTGTCTGTGTTGGCAGATATAAACCTACCAGGTTCATTAGAAGGGGCAGAGAGCTGGTTGCTGGGTAATACTAATCCAGGACGAGCTTTTGTACTAGCTTTGTGTTTGTGGCTGGAAAAGGCAGCTGTCCACCTCTTTTTGATCTGCCTGTTTTTAATAACAGTTTAGTTTAATCCTTGTCTGAGGATAGATCTCAGACTAAAGTGTAAGTTGTCAAAGGCAGCAGCTCTCTCCTCCCTAGTTAATCACGAGGTGTTGATGGTTTTGTGTTTGTTTCCAGGAGCCCTCTGGATATTGATGCCACAGGTGTGGTTGGACTGTCATTTAGTGGGCACCGAATCCAGAGTGCCACAGTTCTCCTCAACGAGGACGTGAACGATGTCAAGACTGCTGAGGCGGCCATGCAGCGCCTCAAAGCAGCCAGCATCCCTGAGGAGAACACCATTGGCTTCATGTTTGCGTGTGTTGGTCGGGGAGTCCAGTACTACAGAGCCAAGCGGAATGTCGAGTCTGATGCATTTAGAAAGTTTTTTCCTAGTGTCCCCTTATTCGGCTTCTTTGGAAATGGGGAGATTGGATGTGATCGGATAGTCACTGGGAACTTTATTCTGAGGAGGTGTAGCGAGGTGAAGGAAGAGGACTTGTTCCATAGCTACACAACCATCATGGCGCTCGTTCACCTGGGGGCCTCTAAATGAGAGTGGCTCCCACAGATGTAACTTTGGGGCATTGCCTTTTTCAGAAAAATGGAGACTTGGGATGTGAGTATTTTAAGCAAAACTAGCTCCTTTTGTTTCGTGGCTTTGAGTGATGCTCTGAGATCACGATGGGCTGAGTTTTACTGTAGATGAAGGACAGCTTTGTACACACAGATCCAGAAGTGAAGCTGGGGTCAGACGCAGGCAAAGCCAATGTGACCGAGCGTCCTGGGAGGAGCAGGAGCCCTCCAGGAGATGGAGGGTGAAGACCTTGTGGTGGTCGGTGAACTTGTAGCAGAATCATGACCTTATTTTCCTTAATAAAGGAGAAAATTAAAGATACGGTTGAGTCTCTCTGCTTCTCAGAAGCTGGAACAAGTATTACTGACTTTTTAACTTTTCTGATAAAGAACTGCCTTTGTTTTCATACTGTATGAAGTGACTCTCATAGGTAAGTTAGCATTTTCCTCTTCACAGTAAGGAGGCTGCAAGGGAACAATCAATCTTTTTCACATAGTTCTGAAAATGATATCACCGTATTTTGGTTTTCTACCAATAAAATATACTTGAAAACCCACTCAGCTAGTGTATGTCTATTGCTTTTGATGAGAGAATGAAGAATGTTAACTACTTCTTCCTCAGTGAGAACCTGGAGCTGAGGGAGAAGTGTGAGAGAATGCCAGTTTGCCCCGAGCATCGAAGCTCACAGAGCGTGCTGTGATGGAAACTTTGATTTTCAGTTACTCACATGCCTGTATTTCTCAGTACACACTGTGTTCTGTGTTCTTAATGGTGGCATGACCTTTGTTTGCTCTTGGTTTGCTCCTTACTGCTTGGAATCTGGGCAGGTTGTGAGTCACCTTGGACACCGCAGAGAAGTCAGCACTCCATTGTGGACAGGACCACAGGAATCCTGGGTGTCTGCACTTCTGTTGTTGTACCCTCATGGACCTATGCTGCCTGTTTCTAGACTGTTCCATAGGGCAGAAGTTAATGTGGATTTGCACCAGGTCTTTGTTGTAGGATATACTTACAAGGTAACTGATGAGTGACATTTTTGTAATCGTCAGTGGTTTGTACTAAAAGGACACTAGGTAATTGTTAGGTAAAATAATTGCTGGTTTGTTTTGGAAAAAAAAAAGTCTAGAAATGGCAGCTGCTACAGATACTTATAAAGCTGCGAAAACAATCACATTATAAAAAAGCTGGTGTAAACACAACGGTGAAGGCTCAGATGCCCCACCAGCAAGGCTTTGAAAGCGCTGATTTCTCTGTATACTTCCAAATGAAAACGGAGCTGGGGCTCTACTTTGTTTGAAAAGGAATACATTTCCATTCCCTTGGTTGTAGGAAAAGGGAAGTGGGACCTTAAATGGAGGTGCAGACAGGACCCAGCAGGCCAAATGCTGGTGTGACGAGGCCGTGTCCAGTAGGAGGGAGGCCTTCCTGCCTTAGCTTTCCCAATTGTGTGTAGACTGGATCAAGATCCAGAAGGCCAGCAGCAAAAGAGAGTGCTTTGTGCTGCTAATTTAACAAAATGAGCGTGCCAGGAGTTACAGTAGAAATGAAGACATCTGAGTGCTGTCTAGACAACTGGTGGAAATTTTCAATAGAAAAAAAAATGAACATCACTATAAATTCAGTTTTGACGGAAGCAGAAGACTCCAGAACCATGAAAATAAAGGTGATTGACTTGATTTTTCAGTTGTAGACTGGTTGGGTTGGGTTAATGTTGGCTTGGAAATGTTAATGATGCATAGTAGACTCTATAGTAAAAATCCTATGTTTAACAGGCAGAATAACAGTGTTGCTGTGTAGAGTTACCAGAGAGTTATTTTAATATTGGCCCCTTTCAGCGGGTGAGCAGTGGTAAGTGCCAAATGTGTTGTTTTGTAATGGATATTTCACTTCCGCCCTGTGCCACATCTGGAGATAGGTTTCTGGAACTTGTGCTGATATAAAGTAAAAAACCCCTGGCAGAAGGCGTCAGTAAAGTCATGCATGTTTTGGAGTTAAGAGTGTGGAACATTTGCATCTATAAGTGTTTGTCCTGTGTTTTTGCTCAGGTCAGTAACAGACAAAAAGCATGATGGTGTTGGTTAGACTGAGAAACAATTTGAGACCACTGTTTTAACATTTTTCTTACTGTCCAGGATTCAGTCACCGTGCGTTTACCCAGTACACATACCTAGTCCACAGTCTCCCGATGCTAGAGTTCGAGACAGGAGTGAAGCACACTGACCAAAGAGACATCAGCGGAAAGATAATGAAGACTCTCCCAGCGCTGTTCCTTAGCAGAGACGGCAACAACTAGAAGCCAACTGTCAGGCTCTAGAAAACAGGTTCATCCAACGAAGAGAAAACTCAGTCAAGAAAATCCATCTTCAAAACGGTAGCTAGATTCTGTGATGTTTTCAGCTCCTCCCCCTTGTGACAGTGATTTTTAAAGCTGTAGAAGCCAAGGTCTCATTCATAAACGGGATGAAGTGGAAGAGACCCTACCTGTAGATTTGTGTACATCTGTAACCCCTCTAGATAGTACCCGGGGTGCTAATACAAGGTGCTTGGTTGGTTGGATTTGTTTGGTTTTGCCTCACTTGGGAATTGGTGGGCACTGCTTGTAAAAGCTGCAAGGATCACAAATGCCAGAGTCCAGAGAAGATGGGTGGAGATGGAAAATTGACCATTTGAGGGGAGACACTGGGAAGTTAGGACGTTCAGCCACACGTACAGAGGCTTTAGAATGGCACAAATGTCCAGAGAAGTCACTTGTTCCAAAGATCTAACACCGTGACCTTTCAACTGTGCCTGCTCCCTAAGCTCAGTGAATAACTAACTACATGGCAAAGGGTTCCCCAGCCCGGTTGGAGAAACTGGTGTAAAGGGGGATTGCTGTATTAATAGTTGAATACAAGGGGAGGGGACGTCAAATGAAGGGTCACACAAAAAGGACACTCTAAAAGGCTTAGAAGTAAACACAAGTGGGCGATATCTTTTGTTAAACAAACCAGCAAACATTGAGATAGAGTGGAGGTGGGGTGGGGTGATATTGTTAAAATGATGACATACCCAAAATGAAAAGTAACAAGCACTCCGAGGAACAGAGAAATGAGGTCTGCTGTTCAAAGAATCATCAAGATAAACACCAGCAAAATGGCTCAGCAGGTAAAGGTGCTTGCCACCAAGACTGACACCTGAGTTTGATGTCCACGACACAGGATGGAAGAGCAGCACTGACTGATGGAAGTTGTCCTTTGACCTCCACACATATGCTGTGGCATGCATTTGAGAGTTTGAACACAGATGATTGCAAAGGAAGCAAGATAAGCTGGTACATTCTCTAACGAAGTCCAACATTAAGAGACTTAAGTATGCTCACAGGAATTACAGGAAAGTGATAAGGGACAGAATCAGTGTCTACAAAGAAAGGATTTATGAAAAGCTTCCCCTGCCTACCCCCCACCCCCCAAAATGACCTCACCAGAGACTTTCAGAGGCCACTGGGGACAGGAAGGAACAATGAGGAAGAAAGCTGGAAGCAGAAGAGTATAAACGGGTGAACCCAGCATGAAGGATTTGTGGGGCAGACAGACAAACCACTGGCCAACACAGCACTCTTGTTTTCAAGGAAAAACAGGAAAGCCATTTGGTAAAAATTCTTTTGTAATTTAAAAAAAAAAAATCACAACTATAAGTTGAGGGAAACGACACCACCATGAAAACACCCACGGTGAACTTCCTATCTGTTGGACAGGCTTCTCTTCTAGGATGGGAAGAAGGATGTTTGCCTGCACCATTGCCAGTCAACATGGACTGATTGGAGCAGATAAGCAAGTGAAAGAAAGGCATCCACCATATAAACAAACAAAAGAAAAAATGCACATGGTCATCTTACTACGTGCTGAAAAAGCCATGGACAAAATCCAACACCCCTTCATGAAAAAGATCTTGGAGAGGTCAGGGATACAAGGAACATACCTACCATAATAAAAGAAATACACAGCAAACTGACAGCCAACATCAAATTAAATGAAGAGAGAAACAAAGTGATTCCACTAAAATCAAGACAAGACAAAGCTGTCTACTCTCTCCATTTCTACTCAATATAGTACTTGAAGTTCTAGCTAGAGCAATAAGACAACAAAAGGAGGTCAAGGGCAGATACAAATTGGAAAGGAAGAAGTCAAACTTTCACTATTTGAAGATGATGTGATAGTATACATAAGTGACCCCCAAAAT